GGTTCGTGCGGCTGTTGTAACATTTCACCACCAATTTAGTGGCTGAAAACAACACAAATGTGTCACCTTACAGCTCTGGAGGTCGGAAGTCTGAAATGGGTCTCAGGAGGCTAAAATCAAGGTATCAGTAGGGTTGGAGCGCTGGTTCCTGGAGGCTCTGGGGAGAATCGGTTGCCAGCTTTTAGAGGCCGCCTACATTCCTCCATCCTCAAAGCTGGCACTTGCACTAACCCAGTGCCTGCTTCCACTGCAGTCAGCTCTCCTCCCCTGACTATCCTACCTCCTACTGTCATTTATAAGGACCCTGGTGATTGCATCAGCCCCGCCGGGATAATCCCAGATCCTTTCCTACCCTGAGATTCTTAACTTTTACACCTTTGCCCAGTTCCTTTTGTCACATAGGGGAACACATTCACGGGGTCTTGGGATTAGAATGGCACAACTTTGAGGGGCCACTGTTCTGCCTACCACACTCTTCAAAGATTATTTTCCCTTGCTGCTTTGTTAATTGTCACATTTTACCGTATCTAAAGCGTTGACATTCTTTCAGTTAGTTGTTCATTCCTCCCTACCTCCCTTCCTTTATTCAACAACCATTTTCTGCACACCTACTATGTTCTGAGCACTCTGTCAGGGATTGTGGGGAGACAACTATGTATCCAGACTCTACCCTCAAGGAGTTTACAGTTGGCTTTCCTGAACAGCCTTGTCACTGGTCCAGTTAACATAAGGTGGCTGTTGGGATAGGGTGCTGCACATGAGGCAGGCACCTCAGGAGGCAGGTACACGTTACGTCAACTGATTCACTAACAGTGAAGAGTGGGGGCCAAGACTGAAGACCTAGTTTTCAGGAAATGTAAGCCTCACTCTCCCTGAGTGGGCGCTGCTGCCACGGTGGCTTCTCACGGGCTCACTCAAGGGCTGACTGGGAGTAGCCACCATCTCTGACCTCTCTCTCCACCTCTCCAAGTGCAGCTTTCTGGAAAACATCTGAGCCATTTCTTGGGCACATGTTCCCACAAACCAATCTCAGGAAATGCTTGACAAACACTTGCCCCCCCCCCGCCAAGACTCCTTATCTCTTAGAGATACATACTGAAATATTTATAGATGAAATGATACTAAGTCTGGAATTTGCTTCTGAACAAAACATGTGGGAGAAAGTGGGAGGGTATAGATGGGACAGGCCTAGCTGTGAGTTAATGATTGTTGAAGCTGAGTGATGGGAACATGGGGGTTCATCATACTATTCCATTTTTATGCATGTTTAAAATTTTCCACAATAAAAAAAGTTGAGGCAAAAAAGCCCCCATATTTCACCTTATGTCATTGAAACAAACTTAACATTTGGATATATTTTACTCTCTAAATAATTGCCTAGATTTACAAAATAAATGCAGGCATATGAATATTTGACAAGTCATTTTTAATAGTCACTGGAGTCACAACAGGGAAGAGGAAGTGTTAGATATCTGGCCTGCTGCTTGTCTTGAAGCAGTAATGGTCCTGTTCTCCAGGGAAGAAACACATAAAACTCTGGAACATTATTCCAGTAATTGGATTCAAAGGGCTAAAGATACCATCTGGGAGAAGATAGTTTAACTTGATTAAGAGATAATTATAGTTCTTTATGATGGTGGTGCTGAACTGGCTTGACCTGTCTCAGGACTTTCATACATTTCATTTCCAGGCATCATATTAACATTAGAATCCCTTTGAATCATGACACTGCAGTTTTCAGTCTCAGTAAAAGTCTGAGAAAAACAACTATGAAATGGATAGACTTCTTTGGAATATCTGTACCTGCCTTTTCAGCATTCCTGTGAGGCAGCTTTGGAGCAAAGAAACTACTTGATTTTCATCTCAGACACCTGCTGTGTGACTGAGCAAATTGCATAACCTCACAAGCCTCAGTTTCTTCATCCATGAAATAGGCCTAATAATATCTACTTTGCAGAGATGTGAGGATTATGAGTAATGTATGTCAAATGGCTTTCCCAATACAGACACTTGATTAGGTAGCTTATTGCATTTATAATTGCTTATTCCTCTTTACCCTACTCCACATCTCCCAATATATGTATAGCACATAGTAAGAATGCGACAGATGTTTTTGGATTATATTAAACCTTGAGATGGTAGATAGAATTAGTGGGAGGAAGTATCCAGACCACGCCAGGGACCTCCCTTTGCAGGTCACTCTTCGTTATGAGAGTTTCTCCACTCAACTGCTTAAGCCAGAAAACAAGAACCCATTTGTGACATCTCCCTCTTCCTCTTTCTCACATCTAATCAATCATCAAATTCTATATATTCAAGTTCTCAGTTATCACTAGAATCTATCCACTTCCCTTAAATCCTACTGCTACCATATTAGTTTAAGACTGTCTTCCCTTTACCCTGGTCTAAAACAAAGTCAGTTCTCCTCATATCTGTTCTTACTCTATAATCCTCTCTTCATTGTAGCTGGAGGAATTTTTTTCTTTTTCTTTTTATTAAATTATGGATCTAATTAATTTAAAAATACAACTATTCACAAAAGTAGAGAGTATAATAAACTTCCATGTACCCATTGCAGTTTCAACAATAATTAATGAATAGCTCATTTGATTCATATGTATCTCACTCATTTTCTCCAATGTTTTTGGATTATTTGAAGCAAATTCCAGAAGTCATAGCTTTTTGGGGAGATCTTTTCATACAATCAGAATAAAAGTCTAAATCTTCACATAGCTTCCATGATCTGATCCCTGTTGATTTCTCCAACTGCAGATCACAATTTGCTCTTTCCCATCCTAAGACCCAGCCAAACCAGCCTCCCCTCAATTCCTCCAGCATTTTATGTTGTCTCTTTGGTCCTGAAGCTTTCAGGCTGGGGTCTTATCAGTTCCCAGAAAGCCTGTCCTTTCCTCTCTTTCACCCTCATTGCTGAACTTCAGCTACTCCTGCATCTGCTAGTGCCCTGCACATTGCTTCTCCAGAGGCCTCTAGGCTAAGTTTGGGTGCCCTGATCAGCTCTCAGCACCCTGTCCTTCTCCTCCTATTGTACATACATCATTTTGTAAGTAGTTAGGCAAAGTTGTGTTCTCTGGTAAAAATAAGTTGTGTAGGCATAAGAACTGTGTCTGTTTTATCCCCTGATGAGACACCCAGAACACAGCTCAACACCTTCCTTATAGGAGGCACTTGATAAATATTTATTGAATGAGGTCCCTAAGAAAGGGAAATACAGAAGCCACACCCATTCCATGTTACAAATTGCTTATAGACCAGTGTCCTAAACCTTTTATAAATACAAATGCAATGCTCAGACCTTTAATTGTAAATGTATTTTGTTATATTCAATATGACTTTTTAAAAAAGATTATGAACTGTATTGTGTTTGACACTGAGGATTCAAAAATTAATAATACATGGATCCTACCTTCAAAGAGCTGAGTTTCCTGGAAAAGGCAGTTATTTAATTATTTGAAAAACTGTAATTTCTCATATTTTATACATAATATTTAACTAGCCAGAGAATCTGTAAAGTGTCAAACAACTAAGCACAAACAATAGTCCTCTGTAAGAACAACAGCTAACACTGCTGGGGCCCTTCATTTGAGCCAGGTATGGTAAAAGCATATTTCACTTGTGATTTCATTTAACCCTTATCATACCCATTGAGATATGCTTTACTGTTCCCATTTTGTGGATTTTTTTAAACTGCCAAATCATTTAAAACTTAGGTTATTCTAAGTCCCCCAGGATTTGAAACCAGGTAGTCTGACTCCAGAGAGAGCACCCTACAGTCTATGCTGGGCCTGACAAGTACTTTGAGTACTGCTGTAAGAAAAAATAAAATAACACGCTTTGCAGTTCATCAGTGCTTGCACTTGGTGTCTAGGTTTCAGAGCTATGTGTACATACTTTCATAGGAAAAAAGTACCGGTCAAAAAACCTGCTACTGGTAAAGCCAGGTTCCTGTGGGCACATGGCACTAACCATTGAATATGGACTTTGCACCAAATCTTGCCTTTAAGGAAATATGAACTAGAAACTCTCAAGTTGTAAAACTACTGCCTGCAATGAACTTGGCTGTCTTCTCAGCCAAATTGAAAGCTCCATGCTGTTTTCTTCATTGTACAGTATATCCTGTCTCCTTATCATCTAGAGATGGGTTTTGGACAAAAGGAATTTTATTATATTTTAAAAGAGAGAAATTGTTAGGGCAAATTGCATGTCTGGGCCCTTAACCACAAAAAGAGATTTTGTAAATACACATTGGGGAATTTATAACTTTTCATTAAGGAAAATTTCCATCATAAACAAAAGTAGACTGGATAGTATAATAAAATCCCCTGTACCTACCACTCTGCTTCAAACAGTGATCAAATCATAGCCAATCTGTTTCATTTACATTGCCATCACCTACTACTTCTCTTGTTTTATTTTGAAGAAAACATTTTTGGAAATATTTTGATGCTTTGTTCAGTTGGAAAAACGTAGAATGTATGGAGTCAATAGAACAAATATACTAATGTAGAATAAATATACAAGTAAGATACTTGGGAAAACAGGAAGCACATAACGGAATAGCCTGTGTGGTTTTGACCACAGAAAAGACAGGACGACTGGCATGGATTATTGGTGGTGTTTGCACAGGCAGAAAATAATGCACCATGTGGGGACAGTTTTGATATTGGACAAGGGAATGTGTGCATGTACCTGTCAATAGTCTTGAGCATACCACCTGTGCCTCTTGTTTTTCCTCCCCAGCATGTTTCCCACCAATGAAATGAAGACACTTGTCTGTGGATCATTTGCCTCCCTGTCTGGCCTAAGCCCTTTGCTGCCTGAAAGGACACTCAGGAGCAGCACTGTCCAGTCAAAATGTAACGTGAGCCACGTGTGTAATTCTACATTTTCTAGTAGCCACATGTAAAAAGAAGAAACAAATAAAATTAATTTTAATATATTTCATTTAACCTAATATATATAAAATATTACCATTCCAAAACAGTATCAATATAAAAAATTATTATTGAGATAGTTTGCATTTTCTCTTTTGTAGTATGTCTTTGACATATAGTATGTATTTTATAGTCAGAGCACATCTCATTTTGGACTACCAATATTTTAATAGCCATGTGTGACTAGTGGCTATGGCCTAAGCAGCTCTAGAGAGCCCAGGGTAGGAGAGTCAACAGCTGTTTTGCAATTTACTTGAAAAGAGGGCTACTAAAGATATCTGGTAAAAGTTGAAGTACAGTGTGTATATGCTGGGCTTCTCCAGGATATCTGAAATGAATAAGAGAAAACAATAAAAAACTTAGACAAGTCCATCTAAAAACAAGGAAATAACTACCACCGTCAAAACCCAGACTACGAGGAAGTGTGGCTCTTCAGATCTTGAGCAAGTTTATAGAGAGCCGTAAGTTATTTTAGCAGTTCCCGAAAGGTTCTTCACTTACACATATGGTAAAGTGCACAGCCCTGGATAGTCTAATCCTAGTTCTGTTCTTTACAAGTGTTTGGGTTGGATAAGTTATGTCATCTCTCTGTGCCTCAGGTCCCTCATTAGTAGAATAGGGAACATAAAATCTAGGATGGCTGTAAAGATTAAATGAGGTATTATACGTAACACAGTTAGAACCATGACGGGCCCATCTTTACCTCTCCATAATGTTAACCATTAAAAACAAAAACAAAACCAACCCAACAGCGATGGAATTTTGGGTAGACTGAGAGGAAAGTGGGAACTGAGGAAAGTGGGACTGATGATAAAACTGAATTCATAAGTCCTCTTTGTTTTATCTGGCATCTGAGTTCTGACTTAATGAAGTGGCTTGGAGGTGGGAGGGAGAAGAGAGAAGAAACCCAGCGTGGCTTTGTAGGTGCTGACCATGACCCAGTAAGCACAGTTAGACACCAAGTCACTAGACAAAAGACCTGTTATCTGAGAACTGTTACAGTTGCTCACAACAAATGCCTATTGAACAGCCTGCTCACCTGGGGGGAAATTGTCCCTTAAGAAAAACAGATAACTTCGAAAGAGCAGTCTCAGGCAGCATTTTCATTTTGAGGTTGCCGAGAGGATAGCTCCTCACTAACCCTCTCCAAAAGGCAGACCCAGAAATAACTGTTCACATACAGAGATGAGTGGAGATGAGTCAAACACAGAAAGAATGTAACTTAAGTCATATGCAGAGCACAACTAAAATAAAAATAGACAAATATAGAAGAATATTTAATAAAAATACTTCACTCTCAAAGAATTTTTTTTAAAAACCTATGATTCGTTGCAAAAGAACCTGAGGAGGAGATCAGAGAGATCAGAGAGAAAGATGAAGTAAAATGGCATCAACCAGGAAAGAAATGGAAATGAAAACCACAAGGGAAGCAGCAAGAAGTAGAGATCTGAAAAAAGAATCAATGACTTGGAAGTCAGGCTTGAGAAAACTTAAAAGGCAGAGGTAAAGACAAGACAATGATTTGAACTGATAGATCTGAGGAGAGAGGACTCTGAATATATTATGCCCATCAACCCTTCTTGGAAAACTTGCAAAATCTAGATAATCAAAAGATAGTTCAAGATAATTTAAGAATGGGAAAGACATTGCCTTAGTGGATTGTTGGTGAGCAATGAATCCATTTAAATATCAAACTGAGGTAAGCAATAACAAGAATTATTACAGAACAGAATGAGTTGCAGTGTTGGCATAGCCAATGTAAACAATCAATCAGGTGGTCTAGGAGGGCAAGCTGGGCGTCTGGGCACAGATGCACAAGTAGTGGGGTCTTGGTTGGAGCTGCTACCGATGTATGGTTTAGCCTTTTTCCTGTCTGCAGAGGTGCACCAGGCTCTCTGGTCTGTCTAATGATTCTGTGAGCATCCCTTTTAAAAAAGTATTTTTCTGGTTAAAATAGCTAGAGTGGACTCTCTTGTTTGTCATTAAGACTCTGACTGATAAATGCTTCAAATAAAGAAATTTTAAAAAGATAGGGCGTGTATCTGGCCTATGGTAACCTTTCCAAAATTTGCGTGAGTGTGAGGGGAAACCGATGCTCATACTCAGTTGGCAGGAATGTTGTTCCAACTTTTTGAAAGAGTATTTTAGCAGTGTTGATTAAGATTTTAAACATAAAACCCTATGACCCAGAAATTGTTCTTCTGGGAACTTATCTTACATATTTAAACACTTTAATTAATTCAACAAGTATTTACGAAACCCCCTGCTAGGTGCTGGAGGTGCTGCAATAAACAAAACAAACGAATCCCTACTCTCAAAAATAAAAATCCTTGCCTTCCTGGAGCTCACACTCTGGGGTGGGAGAGGGGAGGGAAAACAGACAGTAAAGAAGGTAAACACTTAAAAGACAGAGTATAGTGGAAGGTGAAAAGTGCTAACAGGAAAGGAGAAAGCAAGGAAGTATCAAGCACTCTGTAATTTGAGCCCATTGGTTGGGGAAGACTCTCATGCATGTAAAGACCTGAATGAGATGAAGGATTAGGACATATGATATTTGGAAGAAGAGAGTTCCAAAAAAGAAGAGACAGCATGTGCAAAAGACCTGAGGCAGAAGTGTATCTGGCACCATAAAACACAAATAGCAAGCAAGCTGGCATGGCTGGAGCAGACAGTGAAGTATGGAAGGAGATGGTTCAGAGAGGTACTGGCAGTTGGAGCAGACAGCATAGCTTTAGAGGCCATTGAAAGGACTTCGGTTTCTTACTCGGAATGAGACAGAAGCCACTGGACAATTTTGAGCAGAGAGGAATAGACCTACATTTTAACATGACTATTCCAGGTGCTGCATTACAAATGAGTTGAATGAGGTCAAGGGCAAATACAGGGAGCCATTCAGGAGCTACTCCAGTAATACAGTCAAGGTATGAATGGTGGCCTGGACCTGGGAGTCAGCAGTAGAGTGGGGAGAGGTGGTCAGTTTACACGAATGAGCAAAAGTGCAGGGACGAAGATGTACAAGGCAATATTTATAACAGAGAAACTAGAAACAACCTGAGTGTCCATTAATAGAAGGCAGGTTAAATAAATTATGGTACATCTTTTTTATAACTTGAAAACTTACGTAGTGATTGAAAGCAGGTATTGTTTTTTAAATTAAAAATCTAAGTGAATGATACTTATTTTTAATGATATTCAGTTTCAGCATACAGAGATATATTGTAGTTTCAACAAAAGCATGTTTTTGGACCATTTTTGTTTGGCAAACCTAGAAGCACTGAACTTAGAGTTTATTTTAAAAAGAGAGTCAAACAAATATGCACTTGTGCCTGTTATACTACTGTATCAGTAATTCATGACTGGCCACTACAAAGCACATGCTTCTATTCTTTTCCTTTGAAAAAATTTTGGTACAACAGATAGAGTCTAGGAAAGGAGGAAAACAAGATGCTAGGCAAGTGATGGTTTTTACTGGACCTTGAAGTCTGACTTTACTGGTACAAAGCATCTGAGATCTGAACAGGCAAAAAAGATTTGTCTCAGGGGTGAAACTGGAAAGTGGATATGATTTGGAATCTACATATTGGCCAGGTGTCCATTTGGTGGAGGCTAAAAGCTGTAGTCCTTCACAACTCACCTTACCTCTGCCCTTCTTTAGCATTTCCCCTCTGACCTTCCCCGGTGGGATCAAGCCTCTCAGTTTCTCTAGCAGCTGCACTTAATTTCTATCGTGGTTCGATTCTTACTGCAACCTAGGGCAGGCGTTTACTTAAAATTCCTGCAAGGCCAGTCCAAGCTTTCCAGGAGGTAAAGGTAAATAAGAATAATCTCAATTATCATTTACTAATAGCTCACCATTTGCTAGGCACTGTGCCTAGAGTTTTTATGACAATCTTAAACTTTATGATACATAATCTATTTAACAAAATTTCCCAAGGTGACTGGTTAAATAAATAGAGGAGTGGCAACTCACACTCGGATTGCTTCATGCCAAAACTCACCCTCTTTCTGCTTTAACACTTTTTATTAGGTAGGGTTGGCTAGATTGATTTTTGAGGATTTTCTTTGCAAAGAATGGTGTAGCCATCAGGGTTACATTCAGCTGTGTGTAACAAACCATGACCAAGAGTGCTTTACACAAGAAAGAAGATTGTTTTTCTCATGTGATAAAACTGGACCTGGGCAGTTTGCAGTAGATGCTGCTCTCTGTGTTCCCTTGTGTGCTGCCCTGAGGTCATAAAATGGCTGCTCTTCCTCCAACCTCACAGCAATTTCACAACTGGAAGGAAACAGAACTGGAAAAGAGACCGAGACTCCATCAGGAAAGAAAAAAACCTTCTCAGGAGTCTTTAGGCAACTCCCTCCTATGCTCATTGGCTAGAACAGAGTCAATCATATGACTCCCAGCAAGGTCTTCCAGGAAGGTGAACACTGCCTGCCTGAACAAAATCTGGATTCTTTTAGAAAGGAAGACAGGGGAGTGGATATTGACGAGGCATTAAGCAGTGCCTGCCCCATTAAGGAATATATGACAAATCAAGGATGTTGGGGGGAGGAACAGTTCTTCAGAAGTGCAATAGGATCAAGAATCCACTTCATTCTGGGCTCTGGGCACCACTGTTGATGAATTTTGCTCCAAGAGAGGCCAGGAAATGTGGTCTTTGTTCCAAGCAGCCCTGGGCTCAGCTTCAATTCTGTTGTTACGGAAGGAAAGAATAGATAGTGGGAACAACCAGGGTCTCTGCCACAGTCCCTCTACTAAGCCCTGAAACATGGATCCTCCTTGGGAAGGAGTCTGGTGTACAGAACCGTATGTTCTGGAATCTTTTCTAGACAGGAAGGGTCTGAGGGCAGTTGTTGACCCAGACTTTGGGAATGGGGGGAAAGCAGTGGGCATTTGGGGATACTTGCGGCTGCTGGGAGCATTTGAAGACAAATTCAGCCTCCAGGATTGGCCTGCAAGGAGGCATTAAGAATGCAGGCTTGTTCTTCAGAGTGACCTCCTCCCAGCCCTGTCACTTAGCAAGGCACCCCACTCCTCCCCGTTTTCCTCTTCTGTAAAGGGTAGTAGTAACTCTACCTTACAGGGCTGGTGTGAGCCCAGTCTGAAATGATGCATATCCAGCTCCTGTTTCATATTATATGCTCCCTAGGTGTGTAGCTCCGGGGAAAGCGGTGTTCCCAGCCTGGGGCAAATAAACCAATGTGACCGAAATCAGTCTAAGGAAAGGCTGCATTGGGAGAAACACATTCATTGTTCATGACAAGCGAGACCTGGCTCCTTTCTCCCCGTGTCTCCCCAGGTCCAGGAGCTGCTCTCCCCTCTCCACCCACCCCTCCTAGGAGAAACTCCACGGGCAGATCCCGGGCAACTGACAGGTGCCAGACCAAATAAGCAACAGAGGTGAGGAGAGAACAGCCTCTCTCCACTTCTGGTCCCAGAGGCTGCGGGAAGAAACATCTATTGATACGTAAACAGACTAAGGCCAGTCAGGAGATTCTGGAAATACTACAATTTACCCGACAGATGGCAGCTGTTAAGTTCTGTTAGGAGTATGCTCTGGCCCCCACACTCCCAGCTCTCAGCCCACATCCTCACATTCTCTCCTTGGCTGTATTGACTGCCTTGCCATTCTTCTCTCAGACCTTGCACACTCTGTCCCACTTTTTGCCCACGGTGGAATCTTGGCTGAAACACTTCACATCCTGGTGAATCCTGTGGTCCCTCGTAACTCAGCTTACCTCTCCCATTCTTCAACATTTCCCCTCTGACCTCCCGGGTTGCGTTAAGTCTTTCCTCAGTTTCTGTAGAAGCTACACTTTAACTTCTATCGTGGTTCAGTTCTTACTGTAACCCAGGATGGGCGTTTACTTAGAGTTCCTTGCAAGGCTAGTCCAAGCTTTCCGGGAGGTAAAGAAAGGGGCCAAGCCACTCCCCCTGTTCAAGGCATGAAAAGGAAGAGGATATTGTGCCGTATTTTAAATATTTAAATGACTGGCAAGTCGTGGATGCTCAAAAATATTTGTTGAATATATATAACAAATTAGCACTGTTGATGCAAAAAAGACAATGCAATATAAGTGTGCTATTTGCAGATTTTTAGTTAAAAACGTGAATTACAGTGCACTACAGACGGCTGCTTAGCAGCATACACATTTCAAGTTCTGCCACCTGTGCGTGTCCTCATCTGGAGATAACTGCCAATGGCCCCTTTCCCAGACTGCTGGGGAGACGGGAGCTCCTTGTGCTGGGGTGGGCTCGAGGCCTGGCACGTAGGGGGTCTCACTGAGCGCCCGCGGCTCCAGCGCCCGCTCCCCCGCCCGGACCGCACCCCTGTGGGGTCCGACTGGCGGCCTCCGTTTGCATCTCGCACCCCCGCCGGCAGGCAGCGCCCTCCGGCCCGTCTCCCGCCGGGGTCGCGACGGGGCTTGCGCTGTCAAAGGCTGCGCGGCGCCGGCGCGGACGCCCGCACTTCCTGGTCGCCCTGGGCGGGGAGGGTGGGGGGCCATGCCGGCCTCCTGGTCTTGCCCTGGGAATGCGCAGGGCGGGGCCGAGGCGGGCGGGCGCGCCGGCCTCCCGCCCCTCCTCCGGCGGTCACCTGGGGCCGGGAGCGACAGGTGCCTGGGCGGTGTCCTCGCCGTCGTCTGGTTGGCGCCCGGCGCCGGGGATGAGCGCGAGCCGGGAGCCGCCGCGCCTCGGGTGAGTGCAGGGGGCTCGCCGCCGCTCTCCCGTCCCGGGTCCGGGTGGGCAACGGCACCGCTCCGCTCGCGGCTCCCGCGCCTGGCGCTCTGCGCGTTGCGGACGGAGAGGAATTTCCCTTCCAGGGATTCAGAGGCTGGAGTTTCTCTCCTGCTTACGAGATCCCGGAGTAGGTCAGGGGTCAGTGGCTAAAAGCCACAGACGCCCGAGTCTGACCGCTCCGGCTTGGGGGTTTAGTGTGGCCTTCGAGGCTGAGGTCTGTCGTAAGGGCTGGGGACCGGGATCGGGGACCGGGGATGGAACCTTGTGGCCTGGGTGGGGCGTGTACTCACGCCCAGACACTAAGCACTCTGTTTCCAGGGAAGATAGCTTTTAAACATTATTAAACCGGCGATGTTGTAGAACGGGTGTATGTAGTTTTCACTCTCCTTTCTGGCACGCAGAACTGGGGTTTGCAGTCACGTGCGAACACGCACATGTATTCGTTGGGACGGACTTTGTTTGGATCCCTTCTTCTGGTCCTTTGGCTTTGGGGGGCAGTGTTTTGCAGGGCTGTTTGTTTTCGGGGACCGTGGCACCTTGGTTAATTTCCCAGTGACCAGCCTGAGTGGCTCAAAATTGTCTCTAGATAACCCGGGACCCCCCTCCGGAACGCGTTGGCTGAAGCTCCTTTTCTTGCCTGGCCAGGTGACCCCAGGAGGTGCCTGCAGGGCCCGCCCCAGCATTCCGGAGGCAACCACCGGGACCGGCCTGCGGAGGAAGGCCTAGCTGAGAGGAGACGTGCTGGCTTCGCCCCACCTTTTGACTCCGGTAAGGCGGGGATGGCGGGGAGACGGTGTTGATCAAACTACTGAAATAAACCCACATACATCAGCATTGCAAAGGACACGGGAATAAATGTTTGGCTCTCAGAATTGCTAATGGCCTCAGGGCAAATCGTTTTGCTTGTACTTTTCAGATTTCTGAAAAACTTTAAATTATAAAAACAACTGATTATATAAATGTTATAATTCTATAAATAATAATATATTTATACTTCTAAGACTGAGTTTGTTGTATCCCCAGAATAGAATCAGTGGGAATTGCCAGTTGGGGTCAGCCTGGCTGCTTTGACAATCACAGGTGTGGGGAACCTGTGGTTTAAAAACTGTGGTTCAATAGAAGGAGGAAGGGAGGCATACTCCTGAAAGATAAACCCACATTTCTTAGTACCATCAGTGGAACCGAACTTAATGACTGCTTTTGAGGGAAAGCCGGCCAAGTAAGTGGTATATGTGGTAGTAGGAGTGTTAGATGAACCCCTTAGCCTAGAAGAAAGAAGTCGTAAAGATGCTTTAAGTCAGATTCAGTTGAAGCAGTCTAGACCTAACTGTGCCATGTGTGAGCCTGGGTTGGATCCTGATTTGATGAAGAAAACATTTTTTAAAAATTGAGTAGAGAAAGGAAATTTGTTCTTCTTATTTGATAGCATAAAGGTTGTAAATTTTGTTTAGTTACTTTTGGTAATGGTATCATGATTATGATTTCTAAAAATCCCTTATATTTTAGAAATACTGAAGTTGAAATTAGGTTGAGGATTTGCTTCAGAATAATCCCGTCTGGAGGAGAACTGCTAGGGGAGGAGTTGGGGGTAGGGGAGCTAAAGGGAGATTGGCTGTGAGTTGTTTATAGTTGAAACTGGGTGAAGGGTAGGGGGTATGGAATTCCTTCCACTGTTGCCTCTACTTGTGAATGTTTGGCATTTTCCTTTAAAAATAACACCACCACATCACCTACGGAGCTTTTGCAGAAGGTAAGTTTGGAAGGCACCGTTAGTGATTCTCGATTCAAGACCTTCCACAGACCCTCACTCTTTGTACCTTGAGGGTAAAGGCTGCCTCTCTAGGCTCAAAAAAGTCTTGTTTTTCTCTCTTCTGGGGTTGCTGCTTTATTTTTCTCAGAGGGCATAGGGTATTTGCTGACTGTGACAGAGCTGAGCAGATCAAGTTGATGCAGGTAGGTGCTACATCAGCTTTTTTTATACAGAGGGTATTAGCAACCCTGGGGTTTGAGTTGTCTCCAGGTGAACAGATTGTATAAAATACATTAGCAATTTCTCTGAACTGTCCAAATCCTTTCCAAGTTATACTCATCAAAAAACAGAGCTCAGAGTAGTGAACATATCCACTTAGAATTTGTGTAAACATCTGGAAGTATTGTATACATCCATAAAAAGTGTGCATTATAAAACAAATCCCAAGGTGAGTGCATATCTACTTATTACCTGAAAGGGATCTTATCTGTGTGTGCTGCCTTTTTCATGTCCTTACCTTGTTGCCTCTAACATCATGACGTGTAAATATTTAGCAAAGAATTGGCTCCTAGAAAATTCTGCCAGTTTTTCTTTCCAAGAACCCTGCTTTAAGAAGGAGGGACATGGGAGTAATATCTATATATTCATCCTGTTTGCTCATTTTCCTCCTCGGAATTTCTCATATAATCCCTACTCATTCTATCATGCTTGATTATAGTAATTTGGAAAAGTGATGATTGTATGAGGGAGCTACGGAGGTTCAATAGGAGGAGGAAGGGAGGCATACTCCTGAAAGATAAACCCACACTTCTTAGTAGCATCAGTGGAACTGAACTTAATGACTGCTTTTGAGGGAAAGCCGGCCAAGTAAGTGGTATATGTGATAGTAGGAGTGTGAGATGAACCCCTTAGCCTAGACCTCACCTGTGTCGTTTCATTAGTGTGAAAGAAGTTGTAAAGTTGCTTTAAGTCAGATTCAGTTGAAGCAGGACCATCACAGGTCCCAGGCTTGTCGCAGTGTACAGGAAAATGAGAGCCCACACGAGTCCCCGTCCTGCTGGAGAATCCCATAGCGAACTCTCGCTGGCTCTGAATTGCAGTTGTTTGGCTGTGGTTCAATGTTCTTTGTGTGTAGAAAAGAAGTATGCAACTGTTAAGAGGCTTTGTTTTCAAGCTCAGTTATCTAAAACAAGAGCATGATGAAAGAAAGGAAACTTGCTGTGCTCTTCAGTGACCAGGCAGTGCCCTAATGTTTACTTTCCTCTGTGTGGATGGTAGAATTGGACTCAGGAGAGCTGACTGCTAATAGCCATTTAAAGGAATTACCACAACTGTGCCTCCATCTTCTTCTCCCCACATCGCGTTATTGGAGGGTAGGAACACATTAGAAAAGCAAATTACTGCTGTGCTGGCCTAGAAAAGAGAGGAGAGGATGTTTGCACGTCAATTATATTCTAATTTGTGGGCACTCTCCTTTCATCTGTGTCACCTCATCCCACCCTGTGAGCTGGAGCGGTGGTGCTGGGGGACACACACACACACACACACACACACACACACACACACATTGTCATTCTCACAAATCTTTCCAAGTTGGGTATTATCAACCTGTTTTGCAGATGAAATTGTAGCTAAGAGAGTTTATTTAAACAGTTCACTCGAGGTCTTGCAGCTAGTAAAAGTAGAGCCAGGATTCAAACTCAAATCTGCTGGATCTTACAGTTTACATTATTTCCAGCTTCTGTGCTGTCCACACCACCTTTAGCAGACAGCAGAGCTCCACGTCCAGTTGCTAGCTAGTTAGTCCAGGCAGGCTGTCTGTTTCCCACACTCAGGTACCCTGGTTGCTGGCTGGAGACAAGGACCACATCCAGTTAACAGTGAGGTTTTAGCAGGCCAATGTAGAGTTAAAAAGAAAACTGAGCCAATGTTAAAAATTGGGAGATTTCAAATATTGTGTCCCCCAGAATTCCAAGCGGCAGTCCTGGAGCAGCATTCTCTGGAGAAGGGGAGTGAGCTGCAGTTCTGCCTGGACTCCTCCACTTGACAAGGCGTCCCCCATCCTGGAGGCAGGGCTCCATCACACTTACACTGTTGGTTCTCTTACAAGCTGCAGTGAAGAAAAGGAATGCCCCCCAAATCCCAAACCGTTCCCTCTGTGTGGACAGGAAGAGGGTCCTGTGCACCGTGGGGGCTCCCCAGTATGTGCTGTGAGGATAGGGCACTGAGAAGCCCTCCTTCTTTCAGCCTGGTGTGGGGAGCCAAATGAATACTGAGTGTGCGTTGGCTCTCTATAGCTGCCCTGAGGGCTCCCAGGACACGCAAGGATGCTTCTCACTCTCCTCTGCCCACCCCTGTCCTGCTAACGACAAGGCTGCTCCCCCGCTCTGCACAGGCACAGCCTCTTCAGCCAGCCCTGAAAGGGCAAGGTGCACAGGGCCCAGACGCCAGCGTTTGCAAGGTTTCTGTGAGGCAAGGCCAAGGATGGCCTAATTTCCTCATCTTGAAATGTTCGTTTACTGGTCAGGGAACAGATGTTCTCACCTCCAGCTAGATCTGGAGTTTCATTACTGTTGGCCTTCTGTTTAGAGCTTTGTGTCCTTCCCTTGAATGCTGAGTGTTCACAGCTGTGTATGTGTGCTTGGTGTGGTGTGGCGTGGTTTGGGGGAGGAAGAGAAAATATCACAAATGGAACTTTCTGGGGTGGTTTTGAGAAAATGTCAGGTGCTATTCTGGAGCCTTTGTCACCTGAACTATCAGTCTCGGTGTGTACATGCCCCAGTGTGATAGGAAAGGTAGAATGAAGGAGGGCTGCAAGTGGAATCCCTTGTTTGATTGAAAGAAGTAAGTTTAGAGGCTGATGTGTTTTGTAAGTGCCAGACTAGCCAGTTAATTGGATCCTTTCAGGAGAACTCTAGGATTCAGATTTGTGAGTACGTGCTCCCTCAGAAGGTGACTGCCAAGTCCCTGGTCATAGAGGCAGATGGCAAGGAAAAGTGGGTTGATGATCAGCCAGAGCAAACAAAGGTGAGGTGGAGTAATCCTGACTGTGGACTCGAGCCAGATCACTGGATTTATTTCTGCTGCTTATACCACCTGGCTGTGTGACTCAACCCTTTTTTCCCCCACCCTGAGCCTCAGTTTTCTCCTGTGTGAAAATGGAGGTAACAGTACCTACCTCTTGGGCTGTCAGGGCATGCCAAATGCTGGGCGTGGCACCAGGCTTCGCTGTGGTTAGCTGTTACCATTGTCCAAGCCCTCCCTCTTCACTTTTGCCTTTATTTGGTCCCATAGTTTTAAAAGGAAGACTGCAGGGTAGAAACACCTTCCAGATCTGACCTCCCTATTTTCAGAGTGAGCCTTGGACTGTGAGCCTGAGCTGCCTCGTGGCCTTAGGGAAATGCTCTCCATGACAAATGCTAACAGGGTGCTTGGCACAGCAGCAGCTTCGGAACTGATGCCCACGGCCTTGAACGCAGGGCTTTAGCTCTGTTGTTTGGGGATTAATATCCACACTGACTATGAAGAGGAGATGGAATTCCCGGCATTCCGTGTGGCGCAGACTCCATTCTGTTGTGCAAGAGCAGACTCCATTCTGTTGTGCAAGAGCAGACTCAGGAGTCCCATGTCTGTCTCCGCTGGGGGAGGGGGCGTTGTGACAGACTCTATCCTTGTACCGCAGGTGCCTCCTCTGTGTGCCAGCTGGGGATAAGCATACCTCGCAGGACTAAGGGCTAACAAAAGTGTGATGAGCTCACAGGCACTGTGAAGTACTGTGTCCAACTTTGCCCTTTGTTGGTGGTGAAATCATAGAAGAGGTGCACTAGCACATTTACCTTTTCATTTGGAGAGGTAATAAAGGTGGTACTGACATATACATAGCATTTTATAGTTTTTAAAAGGGCTGTCTGATCTGATCTTCAACCAGTGGTGCAGGTTTATTTGTTTCTGTTGCCTTTTGCTCCCTGTCAGGAGAGGTACAAAAGTGAACTGAAGAATATATTTGTAAGCAATTAAT